CTTGTCTTACTTCCCACTCATAAAATAGAGAAGCACGATTGCAAAATTGCAAAGCAGCATACGGGTATAATTAGTTGATTTGTTTCTTTAATGTCTTTGTATAATATATCCAATTTTGTATTTCAATATTTTATGGTTCATGAAAAGAGATATATACACATATACTAAGTTACACAGAAAAAAAAACAACAAAAAATAATGAATTGATTACAGTGATTTTTTTGTATACAAAGTGGTTCATAAAAATTTGACAAAATCCAACCACTGGAAAGGCTGTAAGAAATTAATAATGTGAACTCAGAAACACGGAAGAAAATCGATTTCCTCTTGAGGTAGCTCAACTCAACCATTTGTCGCACAAACCTGTGGGCTATTGAGGTGATCTTGGAGGCCAAATGGCATCGCCTTATCGAAGTAAGGTCAGATTTATACCATGTAGGCCCTTTTTGACACTGGTGAACGTCACTGTGATATACACCGGTCCAGTCGCCATAACGCCTCTATACTGGCTCTCTCATTTATACTTGAAGCGTACGCTGGTCTTACTTCATTACATTTTCACTTTGGAGTTCAAAGGATTGTTAATGCTTGCCAAGTTATTTATTACTAATACTCATCCAAAGTACGGCGCCGCTTGCAGTTCTAAACTGTCACAATTTCATATAATATATTGCTAATGCGGTGTACTACAAAAAAGATTTCCGGTATATAAAAATAAACCTACGTCAAGGAAACCTTCATAATTTTATATTTTTGATTCAGCTTTCACAAAAATAAATGAAACCGTTTTCGTTAGTCACATTTGCTTTCTCATATGCCAGGTAGATACATGTGTAGGTGGATCTAATTCCCCGTTTCACCAGCTGGGTTTAGAAAGCATAAAAGTAATAAAATGACCGATAGAAATAAATAATAAACAACAATAAGTCAAAATGACTACAAATCATAAGAAAGCGTAGGTGGCGATTTGTAGGGCAACTGACAGATTCTGTGTTTTTACAGTGACCTGATATTTATATACTTGAAGATGTAACTAGTGACTTGTGCTTCTCTACTAGAAAGAGCGTATCATTGCGATGCGATAGCGTTATAAATGGGAGTTATTTTCAGTCAGTGTGAGATCCACCTCCCAACCATCAAGGAAATGATCCATGGGTTGAGTGTTAGATATAGTGAAGGAGTTAAAAGCCAACTTAATGTGTTAGTCGATTTTGTGTGTCTAATAATGAGTTAGTATAGGTTAAAATACCATCTGACAGTGATAGGGACACGATAATCTTAGGTGGTAACATAAACAGTTAAATTAGTATTAGATGGAAATCATTCACTGCAGTGATACACTGTATTTCTGTTTTTAGTTTAGATAAGTCAAAAACATGCTTATTGCCCGTACGGACAGACTGTGGCTTTCTTTCCAAAGTTATATATGAAGAAGCAATATGGAATCATTCTAATCATCTACTT